CCCTTCACACGCACACTGGAAGACACTGGGCTCATAGCTGCAATAGGTTTGACCTACAGTAAAGACCAGACATCTCACAAGCCTCCCATCATATCAAGAATTTGTACATATGAGAACTGTGGCTATGTTTTATTGAAGCAATAAGCCACAGTAGGGTGTGCATCCTGGTTTTTCAAACAGCATTGACTATTCATAACTTTAATCAAGAATAACTGTGTCTTGTTCAAAGGTAGGGATAGTGACAGATTTTTCGAATGAGATTTACTGTGATTGGCTATTTCTTTCTAAATAAAGTGCTGAAAGGACTGTTGGGTTTTCACTTGTATTTTCTAGTTGGTATAGATTTGTATGGATTTTATAAAGCAGAGCAGAAGTAAAGTAATGAGTAAAGAGATTTTTCTGAGCGTCCACTCAGCTTGTTCAAAGTTTCAAGTGCATAGGCCTTCAAATTCAGGCTTAGAGTTCAATTTCATCATGCAAGGGTGGCTTTCTGCTCTGGGTAAAATGTCCCTTACTTCTCTACCGGTTTTGAAAGAACACTGTGTATGAAAGCTAAAGTCAACAGAAACACACATCTGCCTTTTAATGCACTGATAAGATTGAAATAGTTGGAGTGAATGTTTGACATTTCTTGGCTACAACTCTATGCTGCATTGGCATGTAGACCATACAGTTGGATATGTGGTGGCACTGAAGAAATAAAGGCCCCATCGGTGAAGGCAGCGGCTAGTCGTTTCTAATCAGGTCATTCATCGCTTGTCACTCTTTTGGACCACAGCACATACACTTTTCTTTCGTCTCTCACCTACTATAAGGTGAGGTCATCACTTCCAATGCTTAGACTGGTTTGTTTAAGTGTAATGTTTGACACAGTGCATTCTGCAATCATGAGCTCAGCTGAGATTTCCATTTCTGAGAACATGAACACTTTAGGCTTTGTTAAACTGCAGGACTGTATGCTTTCTGTGATGGTTGTCGTCTGAAATAAGTCTTGAGTGGGGCTGGGAATGACATGTTGAAGTGCAGGTCTTCAAATCACACCACAAGCAGTACCAAAACACACCTAAATCACTTTGGGTGGTTTTTATTTCAGTAGGGTGAGTGTGAGAACAGGGGTATATCCATGTTTCCAGTGCCCCATATTCACAGGGTCCTATATTTCCAAGCCTCTATGTCTCCAGGGTCCTATATTCCCAAAGCCTTATGTCCCTAGGGTTCTATGTTCCCAAGATCCTGTACTCCAGGGTCCTATGTTCCCAGTGTCCAGAATTCCCAAGGCCCTATGTTTCCAGGGTCCTATATTCCCAAGGCCCTATGTTCCCAGGGATCTATGTTTCCAAGGTCCTGCACTCCAGGGTCTTTTGTTCTCGGTGTCCAGTATTCCCAAGACCCTATGTTCCCAGTGTCCCAGGATTCCTAAGCCCCCATGTTCCCAGGGTCCTATATTCTCAAGGCCCCAAGTTTCCAGGGCTCTATGTTCCTAGTGTCCAATATTCCCAAGGCCCTGTACTCCAGGGTCCTATGTTCTCAGTGTCCAGTATTCCCAAGGCCTTATGTTTCCTGGGCTCTGTGTTTGTAGTGTCCTATATTCCAGGGTATAATGTTTCCATTGCCCTATGTTCCCATGGTCCTATATTCCCTTATTCTTTGTATGGTACATCATACCTCGAAATGATATATTAAGATAAAATAAAAGGGGTTCCTAAAGTAATGGTTAGGGTCATAGGATCACCAAAGCACAGAGGATAACGATAAATAGCAACACACTTCTCTTGGCTAGGTTAGCCTCAGTTAGCTAGTTAGCTAATAAAGCAAACTTTGTAACGCAAACCAATTTTTAAGAAGTCAGAGTGCAGCATACATAAACTTTATCAATGATCAGAATATGTGAATATGTAAGTTTGCACATATATCAGAGGTATGAATGTTCATCTGATTTTTCATGGATGCTTTTTTAAGGATTTTTAAGAATTGAGGCGACATGGGAACATAGAGTTGTTTTCTAGAACATTACAATGAAGGAACACAGGGCCAAGGGAAACATAGGGCTCTGGGAACGTAGGAATGTTTCCAAATTTACAAAGGAAAACAGGGTCTGGGTGGCATAGGGCCCTGGAGTCATAGGGCTGTTTCCATGAGCAAATAAAGGGCTCCTGGAACATAGGGATGACCCTCTGAGAACGCTGGGCTGCTCTCAGTAGGTTTGCCAGATCATTCTGAGCTGGTAAAGGATGATTCTTTTGATTTATCTTTACAATCAAAAGTCTTTGTCCATCTCTCCACACCCTGTTTGAATAGTGTCCAAACAATTGACTTTAAACCAAGTATGCAACATTTTAACACCCCACTAATCCTTCTTATGTCTAGTGACTCTATAAAAACATAACTGCACACACCTGGGCTGGGTGTGGGTAGCCCTTATAATGATCACACAGCTAATCTCAGGGTTTTGATATTGGAATTGTGTTCTGACTTTGCCCTCATAGTCTGTGCTGAACGTACTGTGGGTTTGCTTCAGTAGTGCGCCGCACAGGCAAGTGACCCTGAACTATTACTGTTCTCTCATATGCCTGGGCTGCCAGGACTGTTTCAATTCATGAGATGTTTCTTTCATGATCCAGGCTTAACTTCATGTCCAGATGTACAGAGACAAAGGAATGTGGGAACTGTTCTGCATGAAGGGCTTCAGCATAGTGGTCTACATGAAATAAGCCATTAATCATAGGTGTATGAGTGATGAAATGTGATGTGGTCCTTCCAACCTGAAGGCCATTCTTACACAATGCCAACGGTTTTATCTCAAAGACCTTATTTATGCGTGTAGGCTTTCAGTTCGAAGGGCTTTCAGTTCAAAGGGCATTTGAAGACTATTTCAATTCAAAGAACTTTCTTTGAGTCAGTTCTCATGAATGTGAAATATGTCTCGGGGTGCTTTTGAAGGTGTTCATTATGACGTGTGTCCATTACTGAGAAATTGTCACCAAGTAGCCTCTCAATGACCAGCAAACATGCTGTAGTCAGACAGCTCGCAGCAATACTAAGAACTGTGGACATTTCATCTCATCTGAAGATAAAGAAAAAAGCCAGGGCCAACAAAAGCCTTCAGTCAAAACAGAGGAGGAAAGAAAATGCTGACATCAAGCAAAAGGAAAGAGAAGGAGTGCCATCTAGTGGTGAAAAACGATGCAATTGATTCACCTGTTAAGGCAAGGCAAGTTTATATAGCACCTTTCAGATACTGTTGTCATTCCAAGTGCTTAACAAATGAGAAATACAGAGTCATTTAAAAAGTAAAACAAAAGAGAATAGAAATTAAAAACATGATCAAAACAATTGCTGTAAAAGAGAAAACCATTGAATTAAAAATCAAATTAGAAATTAAATTAGGATAATTAAAAATCTAATTAAAATTAAACATTTAATTAGGATCAAAAGTGTCATTACAGAGGAAAAGCAGCTAGAACCGCTCATATAGGAATGTTTTGAGCCTGGATTTAAAAGTGTCCATTTAAGTTCAGGTGGTTCCATTTAAGAGGAGCATAGCAGCTAAACGCTGCTTCTCAGTGTTTAGTCCGTACAGCAGGACTAACTGACTAGTTCCTATTGATCTGAGAGTTCTGTTCGGCTCATATCACAGCAGCAAATGAAATGAATATGCTGGTCCTGCACAACTGAGCGATTTATAGACCAGTAATAGTATCTTAAAGTCCATTCTGTGATAGACTGGTAGCCAGCATAAGGATTTAAGAATTACTCATAGTGAGACTCTGGCAGCTGCATTCTGAATCAGCTGAAGCTGTTTTATTGTACCATTACAGTGATCAATCCTACTAGGAATAAGGGCGTGGAAGAGTTTCTCCAGGTCTGGTTTAGTCAGAAAATTCTGATCTTCTTGATATTTGCTGGAAACTTACTGCTTTGCCACTTTTATTTAAATCATATTCTTTTAATAATAATAATAATAATAATAATAATAATAATAATAATGTGGAGTTAATCTGTGCTGTTATCTCTGCTATTATCTCATTGCATCCAAACGTACATGGGCACAGAGCGCTATATAGGCATAGACTTTTCGATAAAATGCTGCCCTCTTGTGGAAAGTAAAAGAAACGTGAACCAGAGTTGACTAACCTCAATTCGGTTTCAGTGGGTTGGAAATCAACGATTATTCAACAGTCCTACTCAACGATAAGTCAGCGTTGTTTCAACGTTATTTTGCTTTCTGGGCAGTGATTGATCACACAGGTCATCCAACCGCACAGGTGATCTATTGTGTGTCATTGCAGCTATAGAAGTATTATAGGTAGAATCACTAAACCAGGTTTACGTTACTTTATCCCAAAGGGACAAAACAGCTCAGCATCATTATTTCCATCATAGGCCTATAAATAGTCAAATCCACCTGATCAGGTTGCACAATATGTCCAAAAGTGCTTAAGGAACTTCTATTGCTGATAATACTGGCGTTCAGTTACGCACTCACAGCTTGTATTATCTCCATAGAAAAGCACTGACCAATAGAAAACTCTGGAGCAGCTACATACGATCCCAGGTGTCGGCTAGAGGGGTGTAAGGCCCCCCAGCATTGGGGTGTGGAGCAGTTGAACTGCGTTGTCGGGAGTGATGGAGCTCCTTTCAGTTTTTAGGATGATTTGAAGTGATCCAGCACTGATCGTCTAACATCAGCAGCTGACCTCAATCAAATCCTCACAGCAGTGTTCCAACATAAGGTAAAGCCTTCTCAGAGGCTGTAACTGCAGCAAAGTGGCGATAAACGCTTTACTGATACACTTGATTTCAGAAAAGAACGCTGGCTAAGCAGTGTCTACAAACGTTTGGACAGTTTAACAGAAGAGCAGCAGGTAAGCCTGACAGACGTCAGCGCTGTTTCGCCTGCTTTCATCTTCTCCGCCCTCACTTCGTAGAAAGCGTAGGCAGGTCTTTCCAGTAAGGCAGGTGTTCCGTGCGCTTGATTATTTGCATAAAGTCCAGGAAGTTTAGATCATTTTTGTCTCGCGCAGACACACCAGGACACCACACTCGAGCGCTGCTTCACAACAACAACGTGAAAAAGGCGAGAATAGTTCAAGCTACACTAGTTAGTGTCTTAGTATGTCACTATCATGAGTTTTGTGTGCTGGAAAGCGGTTTTGTTTCTCGTCTTTCTGTCTAAGGTCTCATGTCTTCGCGTTTTAAATGCCTCCTCTCTGAGCTGTGCAGTAGAGGTAAGTAAGCTAAGCTAACCTTTCAGGAAACTCAGCTGGGGAAACGCTGAGAATGTCTAGCAGAATTTGTTTTACATTTGTTTCCCCCACCTCTGATGTTAAATCTGCCTCTGAAAACCTTTCAGGTTTAATAAAATGTTCCAAAATACTTACATTTTTTAGCCTGCACTCTTAAACCAGGTGGCTCTTCAAGGGTTCTTTAGTAAAGACACTATTAGAGCCATGAGTTCTATATAGAACCATTTCATGCATAAATGATTTTTGGTGAAATGGTTCTTCAGATTGATGGAAAATGTGTTGTACATGGTCCTGAAAAGGGTTCTGCTATTGTTATGATGCCAGGCTTGTAATAATAGCAGAACACTTTTTGGTGCTATATTGAACTGGTTTGAAAAAGGTTCTATATACAACCATATGCAACACAATCTCCGTTAATCTGAAGAACCATTTCACCAAGAACCACTTAAGCATGAAATTGCTCTATATAGAACTGATGGTTTCTATATAGAACCTTTACCTTTACTAAGAACCCTTGAAGAACCATCTTTACTTGTTTACCTGTTCCTCCTGTTGAAGTTGACTGTACATTGTACATTTAAGAAGTGGTTTTAGTGAAGGCAGTGTTTACATACAGAGCCATCACAATTCAAAGAACTGTTTGAATGCATGAAAGATACTTTGCATGGTTAAATGTCTTTTTTTTCTCCATTATATTTAAACATCAGGGCTGTTTAAAGAACCTTTTAAAAATGGTTCTATATAGCACCAAAAAGGGGATTTTGTTATCATTGTTACAAGTCATAGAACCTTTGTGGTATAGAGCATTTTTAGAGTTTGCTTCACAGTTATGAATAGCTTTCATTTACAGGAAGGTGAAAACGAATGTATTTGTTCATTCAATATTTTAGCTACATTTGCACAGTTATTTAGCCATCTACTGTAAATTCATATGTACATTCTTTAAAAAAATATGGCACAGTACAGCAGGTGCACATTGCTCATTATGATATATCTCATAGCAATGATATGAGTTATGATATATCCCTCAGCAAAAAGGGTTCTATATAGTACCAAAAAAGTTCTTTAACAATAGCAGAACCATTTTGGTGCTATACAATTATATGATTGTATATATATAAAAACAAGAATATCCAAAAAATGGTAACTTTAGAGGAGAAAGCATTCTTCGCTTTTAATGTAAGTCGGTGTGATGACATTTTTTTCCTGGTTTTTCCTGGTAATTATGAATCATTTCTATTGGTCTGTTCATCATAAAATGTTGACATGATGTAGTGGACATCTGCTCTGACCAAATCATGTAGAAAAATAAAAACTGAAAAAAATGTTGATTCAGGTTTTTTGTTTGACAGTGACAATATATAACCAAATATAACCATATATAACCAGCCTTTAATAAAGAACCCTCTAAGAACAATTTACATTATGATATTTATTGTCGTTTTTGAACTGAAATACTATCACATATTGTGCTGAGGATATCATGTATTTATGTATGTATTACGTATGTAGAAAAGGTATGGTCTGATGCCATATGATATATGCTAGTGTGCAATGTTTATCCCTCAATGGGACTTCAAAAAGGAAGGAAGAATTGGAACACTTTAAAGGAAAGATGGCATTAAAAAGCTTCATTTTGTTTTTTCTTCCCAGGAGGTGATGTGTACAGCTGAGATTAGTAAGTATAAGTTAGTGTGTACTGTATGTATGTATGTATGTATGTATGTATGTATGTATGTATGTTCACAACACAGTAGAACAGAAAGAAAAAGCTTGACTGTGACAGGATGAGTTGTAATTGTAGTAAAGAGTTCATTGCCTCCTTCAGATAATTGCTTCTACGAAGAATGGATGAAACAGCAGGATTATACTCCCACTGCGCCGGTGGACCTGAAGGTGGACTGGGACATCAGGATGGACGAGAATGGGGCCTTGGTGCCTGTGATCGTGGCCCGATGGAAAGTGATGGATGATGGTAGGCATTTAAAATGTTTATACTGACATGACTTGGCTTGACTTGACAAATGAGACCAAAATAGATAGTTATTGTCTACATTTCTGATAATACGTTCCCCATTTCATTGTACTGACTGATAATGATTCCCTTTTCTACTCAGCTCTGACTAATGTGGCCTATTTTGCTATGCTTTATTCTCACACTCAGTTTCAGACAATATAGCCTTTAGGAACTGCATTGATCAGCACTGATCAACTTAGTAATGCTGGTATATTAAGTTCAATAGTAAGTTATGTTAAGTAAATAGAATTCAGAGGGCAAATGATTACAAGTGGTATTTTAAAATGCACATGAATGATATTCGTTTACAGTTTGTTAATGTTTCATATATACATTTGGTTTCAATTGTATATGATCTCTACATTTAACCCATTCATATCCATACCTGGTACACAGGTACATTTTTGTTCAAGGTACAAACAGTGTAAATGTACTCTCAAAGGTACAACAGTGGTTTTAAGGTCCAATTGTGTCCCAGTGGAAAAGATGGAGTGTGTGTGGAGTCAATACAACTCAGAAAATATAATTTCAATGGATTATGGTACAATTATGTTCCCTGACTAAAGGTACTGAGATGTACTCTTGAGGGTACCACCCCAGTGACAGGAGGGGTACTGCCCCAGTGACATTTTATTACCTTTATTTCTGAGAGTGTACATGCCTTCAAAACAGTTCAAATGGGTTCTGTTAGACATTAATCTAAGGTACAGCTACACCTAATTCCATTGCTTTAGACCGTTCAGAACAAGCTCTGATGTGTTTTTCCTTATTGTACTTGCTTACTGATCTTAAATGTGTTATTATATTAAAAGTTGATAATATCCTGGACTGGAGCTTAAAGGAGAAATTACAGGCAAAGTATATGTTTTTTTTTACAGGGAGCATTCGAGATTTGAAAGGAGCTGAGTTTCAAGTGGCAAAGGTCGACACTAGTGAACACTTGTGTATCCATTACAAATTTCGCCAGCAGCTTCCGGGTATGAGGAATCCGAAAGGTGAACAGGTGAGATATAACATTTTTAAAAATTGTCTTTTATGGCTTTTATGGTAGAAATCTTGTATTAATGTTGGTTGTGGTGTTTTCATTTCAGTGGGCTTTGTCTGTGGATCGAATGGTTGTTGACCCAGGCTTCACATACTTTGTGTCTGTTGCCAACCTCCCCAAGCCAAATTTAGGCTACACCAACTACCACATCAATAAAACTGTTATTGTCCCAAGTAAGTTAATGAGAGTTAATGTTCTACAAGATTAACCATGAATATCTGACCTTCGCATCAGCACACATTACAGATAACAACATTTCATTTGGGACTGCTGTTATAATTTGTATCCATAACTACAGATTGCAGTGAGCCTTCCATGAAGCGTACCAAAGTCTGCACTGACACAGGTGAGAGTAATACAAAAATGTTATTCATCCTTAGAAAAAAGCACACACACACACACAGATTTTCTAAACCGCTTATCCTTCTGGGTCGCGGGAGGGTGCTAGAGCTTATCCCAGCGGTCACTGTGCGGAAGGCAGGAAACACCCTGGACAGGTCAAAAGCATATACAGTAAACTGACAGTGTGCATTGCAGATATGTGATAATGCATTGTGCAGACATTCTATTAATTGTGACACTGAATGTGATTGCATTGTTTAAACACCAAAGTTTGCAAACGGTCAGACAACATGATTACAGTCATCGTTTTTTGTTGAGTGTATTGTAACACCTTTGTTTGGTCATTTTCATAAAACTGCCTCAAAACATATCCATAAATACTTAAGTGTCATAAGCGTCATGCAGATAAACAATATTTTTATCATTTAGTAGGTCAGTTGGAGCTCTGTGTGGTACAGCCAGGTCTCTTTTTTTTGCCTTTTTTACCCAAATTCTCATTAGTCTCTGTTTCTTGTTACCGATATTTAGCATTGTTTCACCTTTTGTAATTAGAAAAAAATGAGTTTGTATTACTTTTAACTGATTGATATCTTTACTTCAGTGTTTCTGTTATAAACTATAAGGAGGTGAACTACAAATGTTATATGGCAAGTTTAAAACAATGTCATCAGTGTTTTGCATTAATGAGATAAAGTAGCAAAAGTGTTTTCATAATTAGCTTTAAAATACTTAGTTTAATGGCAGCATATAGATTATGAAAAGAAAAATCGATCGATTTTAGTTTTGTGTGCTTTTTCGAGGCAAATATCACTGTCAAATCAAAAACTCACACCTTTATACTTGAAACTATTTTTTTTTTTTGAAAACACCAGCTGCCCTTAATATGATCTGAAAATAGAAATGGCCCAAAATTACTTTGTCACATTACCATTTTTTCCCTTTTATGAAAATATAAAGTTTTGTTCCAACAGCAATGATATAAATTACACTGATGCCTCAGCAGGTGCTCAGCATATGAGGGCAAGAGTGTTTAAACCTGTCATCAAGGCTAAGATGTCTCTTTTGAAGAGTTTTGATTTAACTCTTTTTTTTTAACACTGCGTGACTCCATATATGACATTTTATAGATTTTATCTTAATAGTAAAAAAAAAATAGTAAAAAATAATGAATTCTGAATAGGTACGTCCAAAGTTCAAAGTTTTGAATGGTACTGTATTTATAGCGTAATGGTTTTACAATTCATTGGCGTGCATTACCACTTTTTTGCTGATGTGCCTCTGTGTGCAATTTTAATTTTTTCTCTGTGCCACAGGAGCGTTTTGGCAGCCCAATATTACCATGGAGCGCACAGCACCAGATGGCAGGACACTCCTCATTTCCTTCAACACAGGAGAGCTTTCTGAAAGATATAATGTCTTTGTGAAATGTGGAGATGACAGACAAACGAAAACGATCCTCAACAAGGTACGGAGTTACATTACAAGAATACATTTAATTTGTATTTGTGTTCTTATGCTTGTATGACCTACAAATCTAATTATTTGAATAAGAAAAGCAATAGTAGTCGTTACATTACAGAAACACTATACTTTTGAAATTATATTGAACTTACTAAACAACATCTTTATCCTCCACAGGACAACAAGTCATTCCTAAATGTTATGTTTGACCTTGAGGCCTGGCCACACACATGCTGCGATTTCAATGTTCAGGTGCGTTATTATAAGAGTTTGCACCAGATTATTTATAGACTGTGTACCACCAATTACACACACGATGACATAGTAACTGAAGCATATCTGCTTGTTTAGATCCAGCCCTTCTTTCAGAAGTGTAGAAATGACTGTCAACGGAAGAACCATGACTTTTACATATGCTCAAGTATGGATCTCCTAATCTAATGTTATGAATGCAGAATTGTGTGTTTCTTTATACATTAAGTTTATGTTAATATTTCTGAACAGAGCAAGACGTCCCCCATAAGGAGCCCAAGATTTGGCTGATTTTTGCTGGTCTCTTTCTCCTCTTCTGTGGTCTTGTTGTTTTTGCTGCTTGTTTGCGCTGCAGGAGGCAGCAGAAGGGTAAGCAATCCGAGATATTTATATCTTTGAGTCCTACATTTTATGCTGCCTGAGACATCAGTCACATGTGTACTTGTTGGAGCCAAATTAAACTGTCTCATCCTATCATTATATACTGAAGCTATAGAAGGTGATCAGTAATACACCATTTGAAACATCTAAAACTATGTAATAAGCTTAATAAATGCACATATTGGATGCAGCGATTGATCCACAATTTACAGACTAGTTACAAATTCTAAGCATGCTGATTTGTAGCCTGAAAATCAGGAGAACAGAAGAAACACTGGCTAACTTTGACCATTCAAAAATCATAATGCAATAAAGCAACATTATCTGCCAATATGGTGAGAATATTTATTAACTAAAAAAGATCTTCTGCTGGAAATTGAAAATCAGTAAATATGGTTAATAGCATTGTGGGTAGATATAGTTAACACTAAATTGATCTGATGTCACAATAACAGTAATCTAAAATTAGCAATAACTAGCACATTAATCTTGTTTTCCATTTTCTTAAAACTTTGTTTGCCCACAATTTCATGAAATGAGAATGTTTGAACACAATTTAAGCTCAACACTAGAGAAACTTTGCTATTAAATAAACAAACATGTCTTTAAATGGTCTTAAATCAATACTGGAGTGCTTAAAATAAGTTAAGATTTCATCTTCATTTCATGTTGCTGTTGCTATGGTTTTGCCATTATCGGTGACAAAGACATTTATCCCATACTGTATATTGCATCACAGGTGAAAAAATATACCCTGCTAAACTCACACCTGGCCTGGTCTGTCCAGTTCCTGCTCCTGAGCGTTCAGTGCTGATCATCTATTCTAGAGACCACCCTAAGTACACTGACATAGTACTAAAGCTCTCTGCCTTCTTGAGGGCCAAATGCGGCGTAGAGGTCTACCTTGACCTACTTGACACAACCTCCATCGGAGTCATGGGTCGCCTGCCGTGGACCGAACAGCAGAAGCGACTGATAGAGCAAACCTCCAACAAGGTGCTAGTACTTTGCTCAAGAGGAGTGCAAGCAAAGTGGGGGGCCATGTGTGGGGGACCCCGAGTTCACTTACGGGAAGACGTCCACTCACCAATGGGGGACATGCTGACCCTCGCCCTGCAACTTATCACCCCCGATATGCAACGTCCTGCTTCTTACGGCAAGTACATGGTGGCATACTTTGAGGATATAAGCAGGGAACATGATGTTCCGTCCATGTTCGACTTGGCGGTCAAGTACAAGCTTATGAAGCACTTCGAAGAGCTTTACTTCCGAATACTGGATCTGGAGAAGTATCAGCGAGGGAAGATACACACCATCGAGGGCATTGGCATTGATGAGTACTTCAACTGCCCCTCAGGCAAAGCCTTGAGGGATGCAATAGAAGTCTTCCAAGCCTACCAACTGGAGAATCCAGACTGGTTTGAGAAGGAGTGCCTTGACGGTGAAGACGAGGAGCTGGCCGTGGAGAGCAGCCCTTTTGTTGATCAGTGCACCCAGCCGATCCTTACATGTGAGCCTGTGCTCAACATTGGACCCCCTGTCTTTGAGCACGGGGTTGAGATACACAAAACGGACCAGACTGAAAGTATATGGACTTCTGAAACACCCCATCTGAACCTGGAATTTGCAGAACCTTCTGTGCTGGGTATCCAACCAGCACACAGTCAAGTTTATTCCCCCCTTCCATCTGTGGAATCACAACCTGGCATACTCCCAGCTGGTGTGTACCCTGCTGTCTTAGAGAGTCACCCCTGCCTCTTGGCTGAACCTGCACTACAGGAACCTTTACTGTCCAACAGAAATGAGGTGTTTGCAAAGGGGGAATCACAAGTAGATGACTACTCTGTGGAAGATGTGGATGCTCTCCAGCAACTGATGCAGCTTCAGCTTTCCCTGGCATCCTCCCAGGTGCTAGCTCCTCCACCCTCAATGGACGATCACAACCAGCCAGAGGAGGTGGAGGAAAGTGAGATGGAAGAGGCTTCAGGAAAGAGACAGTCTAGATGGTCAGATCAGGGTTATAGTTCCAGAGACTCTTTTGTAAGGGAAGAGCCTCCTCCATCCTCCCTTGCTGCTCTGGCCAAGTTACAAGAAATTCTCTACCTAAACAGCCCCATCTCATCCGGCTTCTGCACAGAGACGATGGAGAGCTGATGTACTTGTGATTGTAAGATATATTAGACACTTGGGACCCTCGTCAGTAAATAAGGTACTGTACAGGAACATTTTTGCTCAAGGTACAGTGAAAACACACCCTCAGAGATTCAGCAAGGGGAGTTTCACTGATTTCTCAACATTTCTGCATATTAAATGGTTAAGATGTAAACCAAGCATATCAAACCGGGGACCTTCCGGGCCAAAGTGCTACAGAGATTAGTGTTTACCCTCACCTAGTGCTCTAAATTCAGTTCAGGAAAGTTTGGTAATTAGCTGATTAGCTGAATCAACTGCATTTAATGACGCAGTGTGCTGAAACCTGCAGTGTTTAGGCCCGCAAGCACTTGATCCTGACACGTGATGTAAACAAAGGCAGTCAGAGAGGCTTGATATGAAATGCTAGAGAAATTCTAGAGAAATTGTGAGAATTGTTAACAGTGGTGGTGATGGAAACCGGTTGTCTGAAGAGTTCTCTGAAATCTCCCTTACAGAACGTTTTTACATGAAATGGTTATGAATATGCTTGTTTTACATTATTATGCTGGTATTATATGACATGTTTATGCATATGAATTTGTGTTGTAGACGTCACAACCTCTAGTTACTATCACCACCACTGTAGAGAAATCTGAGTCAGTAAATTTCTCTACAATGAACCAGTTCATATCAAACCACTCTGAGTGAATTTGTTTGAACTGAATGATAGGATTATGCAGAAATTGTGGTGGAAATCCCCTTTAAATTACAGTTGTGTACCTTAAACGAGTTTTAAAAGTACACCGCATTCACGTTCCCATCATTTTAAAATAGAAAAATAAAAGAAACTGACTAGAGTCAAGATGGATTGTATGGAGTCAGTGCAAGAAATATAATTGCGGTGAAATATGGTAGTTATGTTTCCTAAGTAAAGGTCCTGAAGGTGTACCTCACCCCAGCGACAGATAAGTACCTTTGTTTTCTGAAAGCATATGTATGAGTGCTACTCTCTATATATTTTTGTGAAAGCCATAAGTTACAGTAAGCAATGTAGCAAAACCTAATGTCTCCAAAATGTTAACTTTACAGTCTTAACTTGAATGTTCATCAACATAGTGAGATGAATTATACATCAGTTTGGCCCATTCCTCTTTAAATAGCCATAAAATATTCACACTATTTATAGGCAGCTGGCCTTGTGTACAAAAGAACAGAGTTATGAGGTTTTGAAATGACAGCAGTGATATACTGTAGCTATTGTTGTCCTTGTCTGTTGGAATACACAGTAACTCATTATTCATAGGTTTCCACACAAACATAGCCTGCCTCCTTTCCCATAATCTTACATCTGTGAATGCAGGGTCTTAATTAAGACTAATGCAACCGGCTGCTATTGCTGTTAGTCACCAAAAATGGAAGTGTTGCTCATTGCCTCAGCTGGATCTACTTCATAGCTTGATTCTGTATGCTTTTACAATCAATAAATGAAATATGTTCACAGAAACTAAACGAAACAAAAATATATATGGAACATATTTTAATGTAACATGTTATCAGCATACTTAGTGACATATAGATGTTTATAAACTGTACATCTTTCATTTATCATTTTTTACATACAATATTGTACACTGATTTGGTTACATGGACACAGCACAGAGTTTATTTTGGGTACCTCATTTTTCATCACAGGGAAACACACAAGTTTTAATTTACAGAATGTTCATTTCTATCCTATTGCATGTATTTCTCTGTAAATAATAGATAATTACCTTTTCATGTAAAAGTAAATGTATAAATAGGTCAGTAGTTCTTACTCTTCATATAGTTAGATTTATGTAGGTCTGGAAGAATAAGGTGTTCATCACATGGGCCTTTGAATGTACCTAATAACTGCAAACTTAAAAGCAGCATTCTTTGGTTGTCTTTGTTGTGTGCTTTTTTACTGGAATTTACTGTAGAAGTCTGAAAAAGAAAAGAGAAGAAAAACTGTTCTCTCATTCCAGGTTTAAAGAAGAATTCCAACTTTTTTTCCCAAATCTTTTGACACAATTTAATGTCAATGTCAAGAGAGGTTTAATGTGAAATTCATCGTAGAGAAAACTGATTCAGACTTCTTTACAGTGGTGGTGACAGGAAATAAGTGTGTGATGCCTACAATGCAAATAGCCATTTTATTTACCATCCAAAATGATGGTGAACCTACACATCTTCAATGATAATACACATAATATTAATAATGGTAGAACAGTGGTAATTCTGAAAAAATATGTTTTCTAATAATGAAAAACTGTTTTCTTATAATGCCCCTAGCGTACCCATTAAATAAATGGCTAAAATGCTTCAGGCCATAATCAAATCTTAAAACATTCATAAAGCAATATCTCAGACATCTGGCAGTGTATTCGCAACCACTCAAGTTATATCTTTCTGTGAGAGAGCTTTTAGAAAAGCATTAAATTTTTCAGACAGCTGGTTCCTGTCACCACCTCTGTGATCAGCTCTGATTAAGCGCATTTCTCATCAAACCATTCTTAGTTACACGGAAATCTGTGGAATTCCCCTTTAAGCTTTGGCATATTTTGCCATTCCTCTTTCAACAAAAAGATGCCAGGATTTTAGTGCAAAAAATGTCTCATACAAACATAATGTAAATAAACTGAGTATTTTAAAGCCCTTGTGGCAGAGTCTTCTGTAAAACATTTGAAGGTGTATGCACTGCAGATAGAAAGAGAATGAAAAGTTCATATGCCCACAAGTAAACTTCTGATATACACGTTTAATAAATTAGTATTTTAAATATATTCATATTGCACGGTGAGGCACAAAAATCCCACTTTTGTTAATGCACTTTCGGCCTGCATATATAACTCCCCATCCCATCCTTCTCTGATCTGAAAGTGTGAATGATGACAGAGTTAAGATGCACAGTATTTTGTGACTGGTCTAACAATCTGCCTTCATCATCCATTATATTATCGCTGTCGTAACAAAACCTTGTACCTCCAAAATGGTAACTTTACAGGAAAAACATTTATAGGTTAACATAAGAGTTTATTCCAAGTTTGACTTTTTCTGTTGGTCAGTTCGTCCTGAATTGTTCAAACAACGTAAAGGGCAGCTGGCATTTTCAAATGGTGTAAAGAAAATGGAGTTACGAGGTACAGCGATGACAGCGATGATATATTACCATAACTTTTGGAGCTGTACCAACCAGACAGGTTGTGCAAGCACCCTGGTTTGTTTGAAAGACTGCCTGTTAGACGTGTGCAATTACGTACAACTGAAGAGTTACAAAAGAAGGGGTTTTCCATTCGAGTGAGATTTGCTTACATTTCTTTCCTTGCTTCCTGTGACTGACGTACTATGGTACAGCTTGAACCTTAACTGTTTATGAGTTCCAAGCTAGATACAATTTTTTTTGCATGCACAGGCAAATTTATATTGTAACTACTTACATTCCATTGATCTGCTTCTCTGCACAAGAGCAGTGTAACTGTGGTAGCCTAAATAGCCTTCATCTGCTGAAATGAATGATGGATTGGAAACAGAACAGACAAATCAACTGGCTCATGGCTTGAAAAATGAGCAGTAGGATCGTGTATAGAGAGGTAGCCTAGTTCTGGGTAGAGACTGATGAAATGCCACTGCTGTAATACAGCCCGCCGAGGCCACTGTTAGAGGAGCATAAGTTCAAAAGACGGATTACATCTTTACTAGGTAGGTAGCGCTATTCACACAGTAGGTATTAGCAATCGTCACAAGCCCATATCGTACACCTTAATGCATTTTTGTTTCGTTCACAAGTACCACCCTTTGCATTCCTTTCAAATTGGAATAGAGTAAAAAATACAAAAACGATCACTATCTGGAACACACACCAAGTCTAGCAGGGCACAAGGCCTATTTACACCTTTGATAAGTGCATTTCAAAAATACATCCACAGACCATGTGTCCGACATGTCAACGACTGGGAGACATTACCTCACATTTAGTAGAAAATGTTTGAAATGTTAGACATTTTCAATGTAGGTCTAGCAAATAAAGCACTGGCTTTTCCATACAGCACATCTGTAACAATTCAATTCTGACACCATTACTTAAAGTGCCTCACAATACAAGTGCAAATCAAACAAAAAACTGCACTAATGAGCAAAGATTGTTCACGACCACAGCCGTGAAGGTGATCTGGCGAGTTAGTAGGAAGTGGGAGCTCCGGAAGGAGAAATGTGGGGATATAGAGGATGGATTTTGGTACAGAAGAGAAGAAATGGAGCGGGCAGGATGGGGTAGGTTAGGGGTGTATGGGGGTTGGGGTCATTGGCAGCATTTCACAATAAAGTGTATGGCAGAATAATGTCACATCCATCACACAATCCACTGTCTGGATGCTCTGTTTTTAGCTTTGATAACATCACGGTTGACATTAACAGTATATGCTGGCTGTGAGGTAATGCAGCTGAAGTAAAAGGCCTAGTAGTACTTGATGGCATTTCACCATCTTCTTCTTCATTCCTGGCATCAGCTGTTTCATGTTGTTGTCCAATATTTAAAAATGTCAGTGGAGGATTTTGCTGTCTGCATGCTTCTTGTCAGAAAACAGCTCTCCATATATCAGTGCAATGGACATAGCAACCACCCATCAGATTAGAATCAGGCTAATTGCTTAAGCAAATCTAATCCTAGATCAACTTTAATGGACACCTGGCTCTATTTTTTTTTTCATATTGTCACAATGCTAGTGAACTGCAATTGCTACTCTCTGCCATTTGTAAACACTGCCCTTTGGCAGGGTGAGGTGAATAGTGGGGTATGTACAGGGTGGGTTTGGATGCAGAAAGGAACATGCAGGACACGTGTGACCTGACCTGGTGGGCCGCAGCATTTCAGAGTATAGTGTTCAACCAGGAAATTTCTAGTGAGAAAAACTACTACTCTATAATTACTTCTGGGTTTGTCGCTCCCAAGCAAGTCCAAAATGAATGGGTTCCTAGGAGCATTTGTGTAAAATCATCCATCCATCCATCATCTAAACCGCTTATCCTTCCGGGTCGCGGTGGGGTGCTGGAGCCTATCCCAGCTGTCATTGGGCGGAAGGCAGGATACACCCTGGACAGGTTGCCAGTCCATCGCAGGGCAGACACACAGACATACACATTCACTCACACCTAGGGGCAATTTAGCACGTCCAATTGGCCTGACTGCATGTTTCTGGACTGTGGGAGGAAACCCACGCAGACACGGGGAGAACATGCAAACTCCACACAGAAACGACCCTGGTCACCCGGCCGGGAATCGAACCCAGGCTCTTCTTGCTGTAAGGCGACAGCGCTACCCACTGTGCCACCCTGTGTAAAATCATAGTTTGTAAATTCTTAATGTGTGAATCAAAGATTTCAACGCTGCGGTCATATTTTTGAGCTTCAGTTGTACAGTGTCTAACATATGTTCATGACATCAATGATTGCAAACTGCTTTATTCTGCCAATGAGCTTTTTAGCTTGTATCAGTAGTAATGTTAGCTTCCACCTGCCCAAAACCTGTTTGCTGTAGAAATACAGATATATTGCTAAGTTTTCTTTTATTTTTTCACTGAATACATCCTTCTACTTTCCAAAATTAAAGAATGTTCACACATAAATGGCTAGAAGTGTTTTTCATCTTCACATCATCATTCATTCCATTTACTGAGTAATCACTTACAGGCGCCCTCTAGCGTTTTATAGTCTTTCTTTCTTTAATAATGGCATAAATACCAAGTGGCCAGGCTACCATTACACTGGTTATGGTTCTACCTCATTAAGCACACCTGATTCAGCTCATCATCAAATAAACTAGGCCCTCATGAGCTGAACTCTGAGTCTGAATCTCAAATGGCTCTCTCCTATATGCTGCAGTATGCAAGTTTTAAAATTGTGGCTTCTGCAGCCAAAAGTGCATTATTTGTCCAGTATGGAATCATGCACACGTTGCTTAATCTCCATGGCCATTTGTTAGTCATATTATGCAATATTTGGGTGCAGGAGCCAGTGTTTTAATTCCTACGCAGGACACTATGTAGGGAGCAGGGGGCCACTTGAGATTTAACAAGATGTAGCTGATTCCTCAGACATACATTAAGTCTAGTCTCAGCCTAAACTGCAGTGTCAGTGGTGAACTGCCATTGAACTGCCAAATCTTTTAATCTGGGAAAGTGGCCCTAAAAATCTTATTTAATCTAGGTTTAGGCTTAATCTGGGTCTGGGAAGCCAGCCACCAATGTCAGAAGAGCTCTGCAGAGCTGTGGCCCACTAGGAGCAGGAGTTTGAAACCCCTCATGTAGGTGGTGGGTGTAAGTGGTGGGGTATGGCAGGTAGGAGCTGTATATAAGGGGGTGGGTATGGAAGAATGAAATGCAAGGGGGGTGGATGGGGTTAGGAGGGCGGGGCTGTTCTTCGCTGGCACCTCGTGTCGTTTGGTTATAGCACCTGTTGAAGATGTTGGAGCGCGACGTCATCCATAAGGCTGATGTTCCGTGACCTCTGGAGAAGAAAGAAGAGAGCCGGTCGAGTTCCCGCCGCCTCTACGGCTGCGTGCTGACCGCCAACGTGTTGACGTAGCCGTGTGGGCCCATGTCGTTCTCCGAGACGCAGTGCGAGACCTGGGCCGCGTTGCCCGCCAGCCGCCGCGCGCTGCGCGCGTTCACGCACTGTTCGACCAGGTCGAGGCACGCGCAGCAGAGGAAGAAGGCGTTCTTGAAGAGGAAGAGCGACACAGGCGCGCGGTACATCAGCACGAGCACGCACCGGATGGCCAGCAGCGGCGCGTTGACCAATGCGCCGGTCAGGAAGCGCGCCCACGCCCAGCGGCAGCGCGCGCGCGACGCCGTCAGCTCGTAGAGCCACACGACGGGCATGGCCAGCGCCACCACGTGCGCAGCCACCACCGCGTGCTTCACGTAGCGCGCGTCGGCGGGCAACTCGCCCTTGACGAGCGCCTCCACGAGCGCGAAGCTGTCCAGCACGTCCATGCACGTGGCCGTGAAGCAGCCGCGCGAGTGGTGGCGCGTGGCACCGTTCGGGTCCTCCGCCACCGAGTTGATGAGGCAGAAGAGCAGCGGCGCGGCGAGCAGCACGGCCAGCTCGAAGCCCGTGACCCCGAGCGGCACGCGCACCGCGATCAGCTCCAGGATGGACGTCTCCAGGATGAGCACGACCTTGGGCGCGCACGCGATCACGTAGATGAGCCAGGCCAGGTAAGCGAAGGCAAACTCGCCCAGGCGGCAGCCGAAGAGCGAGCCCTTCTGGCGGAAGCCGCAGGCGCGCTCGCGCTTGCTGCGGCTGTTTTTGGCGAAGAAGATGGCCCAGCCGGACAGCACCACCAGGTCCGTGGCGATCCACGAGCACCAGTACAGGTCGGTGAAGGCGATGAGGTAGAAGTCGAGCGCGGCGCCCTGCACGGCGAGCACCACGAAGCACAACACCTTGTACAGCAGGTTCCTGCGCGAGCTCGGCACGAAGAAAGGCGCAGCGGAGGGCGCGAACTCGCCCGACGACGTCATGGTGCGCGAGGCGGCCGAACTGACGGCGGCGGCGGTCGCGGAGGGGACCAGCGGCTGCGTGCTGCCTCCCTCCGGGTTGGCGCTGCCCGTGCTGGTTTGCGTGGGCCTGCGGAGGAAGAGCTGCCCGTGCTCCGGCGCCGAGGACGCGGGCGAGTCCGGATACAGCGCCGCTTCGGCTCGGGGACAGCTGGCCGCGGGATTGTCTTTGGCGATTTGCGCGATCATTGTGGCCGCGCCTCGCCTCGCTCGCTTGTTTTGTCTGCGGCCGCGTGCTGACAGGCGCTCAGAGGAAGGGAGGGCTAAGGGGGGGCGGAGGAGCAGGGGGGCTAAGTCCCGATATGGAGCACATCGGAATGGAGCGAGTGGAAAATGAGACGGTCCGGCAGCGCTTGTGGACTCAAATCATGAGGTTTATATTTGGATAAATGAAAAACGCTTTAAGAGGCTCCTTGCATCTTCTGTGGAATGGAGGGAGAAGAAAAATGACAAAGGAGGCTTGAGCTCTTGTCAAGTGTTTTTTCTACCCTTGTTAAAGGGGAATTCCACCCATTTTTCAAAATTCAGTCATTGAGATGTAAACATTCAAAATGATTTGACGTGAAAATGTGCACTGTACAGACTCAGATTCCTTTACAGTGGTGGTTACAACACAAATATAGCCATTTTATTTACTGTCCAAAAACAGTGAACCTACACGAGTCTCCTGAGTTTTTATATGTAACGCTGATGACGGTAAAATACTCATAGTTTTCTTGAGGACTATTTTGCCTCACAACTCCCTGCCATGAATGGATTAAAATAAATAGATTCAAATAAATTATTATGCAAAACCTGATCACAACACTGTCCTAAAACAATGTCTCAGACATGCAGTGTACGCATTTCATGTAATAACTTCACGGAGCTTTTAGAGGTGGACGTCTGGTTCCTATCACCACCACTGTGAACAATTCTGACTCGGTTAGTTTCTCTAGAACGAAGCATTTCACACCAAACCACTCTGAATGACTTTGTTTACATCTCAACCATTTAATGATGTGGATTTTTTGAAGGCGTTCCCCTTTAAACGGTTAAAGACTTGGCGAGAATCACTGCACTCTTCCAGCAATTTCCAGAAACATCTAAGCGCAACGTTTAAAGGGGAACAACAGCAAAAAAGAGAAAAATAATAAATTTGTTCTTTGCCTCTCGTAATGCAGTCCGTGATTGTACAGTGCGTTTCTGACACGCTCACTGACGACAGCGATGCTTCTCTACATCTGTGGAGACACGCTGTGACGTCACACGGAGACATCATTGGCCTGTTCTGGGTAAGGAAGTGAAATGAACGACTGTTTTCACACCTTTCTTGAAGCTGTTAGGTTTTCTGAACTACACTTATTCTCCGCTATGCGTGCAGATACAGTTGTCCTTGGTGGACTGAGCCACTTACTTGCTCTCTGAGAAGCTCCTACCTGCTGTAATAACACTAAATGCGAGCTGATCCATTTTCGTAGCTCGGAAAGGACTTCGTCTCTCGGCCTTTGGAAATGGACTAGAACCACAACCATTAAACCATAATGTTTACAGTGGCAGATTTACAGGAACCGATGAGTCGTTGTTCTTGGCTTGCTTATGAGCAGGGACATGGAGTTGTGTAACACGAAAAGTATTTTTTTTAAGTATTTATGACTGCTACACCTGAGGGAGTTCAGCCTCCAGGTCCCTCTCGTAACCCTCTGGCCAAATATTGCAACTACAAAGAAGGATATATATTTTTATTTATCCAGCCTCTGACGACATCTGCAGATATTGCTGACAGGTAAGCAGCGAAATATTGAACCACAAACCAAGCACCGCACTGCAGGGGTCAAAGGTCGATACAAGGGTATACTGCATGCAGACATCACCCACACGGGGTCTTAGAATGACATGATTTTGCTATGCACTTGTGTTCTTTTACAGTCAGGTGAGATCAGGATGGATTCGGCCAGGAAAATGCCAAAATGCTTTTAGATTTTGCCATAAATATTTATATTTTGTTATATTCTTGAAGCACATTTATTTGTACTATCTTACTTATAAATAAAACTATAGAATTTGGTGGAATTCCCCTTTATATAGTACTATATTTGGCCTTGCCACAGAATCCTATCCTCACCAAATCAGAGTACATAATCATATATCATTCAGTTTGCAATGTTAGCAGCATGTTTAATTATTCCAATAATTAAACTTCTCAAAGTGAGCCAAGACTTGCACAGCTGCTTCTGGCTGGGTATGGTTATGACAGTGTGCATATGCAGCCAGATCACTGCATAAATCTAATTATACAATATAGTGCTGTGAATGGTATAATTCATTCATGATTTTATATGTATTTAAAGTCAACCTGAAATCAAAATGGACCTTTTTCAGTTCATGTGTCAGGTCATATTAAGCATGATTTAACACAAAGTATTTTTCTCGAGTCTTCTATCAAAATATCACTTTTGCCTCTCGAAAATACATTTTTCAAGTTTTGATTGTCACTATGTACAAGCAGGCACAGAAACACTCAGCTATCTCAGTGATCCTCCCTAACACAGCATTTCATTTGAAAATACAGAAGGAAATTCCGTTACGATTTCTGATTCACGCGGACTTTAAAGTGCTATTCTGGCCTCAAAGAAGCATTTAATATGTTACCGTGTGATGTAGTATGTGTCCCTCAGCCGCATCGTTTTAACAGAATTCACAATTCTGGATAATCCGTCAATGTTCTCTGACTACAATACCCAGCATGCATTATGTAATACAACCACTGGGGATCTCTCATATAGGGTTATGAAGAAATCCACTAATATAAAAGCTAATAAATACAGACGAGATATTTGGCTTCCTAGCAGTAAACTCAGCTTTTTGGCTTCCTTTTGCCTTAGTCAGAAAGTGGGAGGAAAAACAGCCCACCCCAAAAAGTTCCTCCCACCTTCAAGATACATCATCAAAAGCCAGAGGCCCAAAAATCCCCAAAATAACCATCCTATCCAAGGCCACCATAAGAAGATTCTCAAATAAACTCCAATACTTTGTTATGAAAATGTTTTTTATTTTGTGAGGACAAATGTACAAGATAAACTGATACTTTGATAATAAACTTTAATTTTCAAGTTATGTTGGATGGTTCTGGACCATAGAAAACAAGCACATTTCAGTATAAACATATGCAATTCAACCAAGTTCGACAAGAACCGAATAACAACTGGGTTTTTGTGGATTGGCTACTGACAGCCGAGCTTAATATGCAATACTGAAGCAAAACAAAAATCTACAATTAATAGACAGTTAAAGTGATGAAACACTCAGCTTCGTATTTGTATGCATTTAAGTCTGCTTTCGGGAGTCCAATTTCACAAAGGTATCGCTACACGCAGTTCTTAGGAGAGACTTGCCATTTGATACCACAGGTGCTGCTGAACCTGTACAGTTCAGGTAGGTTAAAAACTGACCTTCAGGCCAATTAGAAAGGAGAGAGATAGAGATAGAAATAGAGATAGATAGAGAGAGATAGAAAGAGATAGATAGATAGATAGAGAGAGAGATTTTTATATGTTCAGTGACATGAATTGTCTTTATGAACGTTAAGAGTGCATGTGTGCATTTGACATCAAGGAAGCTCACCTCCGCCACCCACCCAATCAAAGTCAGTGCATGAGAAAAGAGGAATATTCCAGAAAGCATCACAGCCACCACCAGTTACAGTGAAGTCTTACAAAGCTGCTGTATGCTCCGAATCCCGTTTAAGTAGGACCATACCTGGGTAGATGATAAGTCAAACCTATAATTCAAAATAAAACCATTAAGATTTATTAGCGATAATCCAATTTTCTTAAATGTATAACTTAGTGTCTTTTTGTAACTTTTACATTTTTGTAAATTGTTTTTTTTGTATTTTTTTAATGTTTTTCTTTAGAACATAAAGTGGACACAGACAGACTTACAGAATGGAGGAGGTTTTCTAGAAAAGGTTTTAGCACAAGCGCACAGACCTGTTTCTTGTTTCTTTTTCTTTTTTTTTTTTCTTTTTTCTCTTGTCTGGTCTTTTATAGATTTCATTTCACTTTGAACTGAATTCATCATTTTAATGGCCTGCTGAAAGGCACTGCCACAACACATGGGGAAAAAGACGCTACTGCCCATCACTCACACGAGACAGTCCAGTCTAGTTTCTAGTAGTCAAAAGTAATTAATGGGTGTGGGGAAGATTAGTGAGGGAGAGAGAGGAAAGGAAAGAAGACGTTAATGGAGGGGTGCTATAGGGAGAGCTCGTAGTAATCGTCCAGCTCTTCGTGAAACAAGTCCCACTCGTCTTCAGAGTCGGTGACATCGTCATCAGTTCCCGCAGCCAGGAGCATGAGGAGCATTTCGCTGAGTTCAAACGTCACCATCTCCTCGTCATCGTTATCCAAGGAGTCGCTGCTCTCCCGCTCATCAAAGAGGTCCCAGAGCGGAGTACGCCTCGAGTTCTGCAAAGCACGAATGTGTCAGTACAGGTGTTTACAAAGCTTTAACAGCTTAAGAGATGTAGTCACATTTCATGAAATGTTATTAAAATGAAGTTGGCCTGCATAGTTAGTAGGCCTGGGTGAAATCTAAAAATAATTAGCATGATATTTTCTAGTTAAAAAGAAAAAAAAAGGCGATTATCAGGTAAACTTAGCTGCTCTACACTAACACTAATTTTAGCTTATATTTTACTGCAGCGAATAACTATGAGGCAAGCTTAAGTTCCAAATTACATCGGCATTGATTCCATTCACATAAAGACAATTAAGGGGAATCTGTGTGGTAAAGCTAGCATTACAGTGCATAGCAGTGAGAAAGAACACAGACAATTTCTTAACAAATCTCTCTCTTTGTGTGAAACTAACTACTGGTGCACGAGCCCACAGACTTCTTAAACATGAACCACAGTTTTCCCAAATTATTTTCCAAGCTGTTTAGTGGCAAATAAGCCCTCTCCAATTCTCTCTTAGTTCTTTCACCAAAACGTCAATTATCACCTTTTACACATTGCTATCGGGTTACTTGTCCATCATTGACTATATCCGATCACATCGCCCAGGCCTAGTAGTTAGTACCATGACAAAAAAGCTTAGAAGCTGTGAAGAACCAACTTTATATTAGTTGCTGTTAAATCTATGCATATGACCTCTGAACGGTTCATATATGTTCATTATATGTCGTTAACTAGGTCAAATATATGG